GATGCCGGGAGCCCCTAGTAGCGTCCCCCTAGTAGCATCCTTGCTCCGCGATGCCAGGAGCCCCTAGTAGCGTCCTTGCTCCTAGTAGCGATGCCAGGAGCCCCTAGTACTAACAATGTCGGTCACATGGCCAAACTGGTTGAAGTTGTCTTCGGCTCAAGCGAGGATGTTCAGAGTGCAGTGGAGGTAGGCTTTGCCAAGCTTGAGGTGATGAACTCCAGGTTGAGGGGAGGTTTGCTGAGACAAAAGATCATGGATGATCTTACTGCGTGGCCTTTGATGATGCGGCACGGGGCGCCACAGTGCAGGGTTTGCAGGGAGTGTCCCCCAGCTGCGCCAGAAGGCTCTTGGAGTGAAACTGCGCTTTGCATAGGTCACATTGAACTCCACTGTGGAAAGCCGTCCATGAATGACCGTGGTGTTCCGGCGTCCAATATGTCCTGAATGAGGGCCTTCTGTTGCTGGATCAGGGGAACACGTTCTTGAGCTCATGGCTCATCTTTCTTCCTCAAGAAGGGTGACTTATCTCGAAGAAGGATGTCCATCCTCTCCCGGCAAAAGTGAGGATGGCTTCAGTGTCTTGATCCACAGCTTGTTGGAGGTGGAGAATTTCTTGAGGCCTTTCCTTTCCTTCCCTGCCCGGAGTGGCCCTCTGAAGGAGTCAACGGGTCCCTGGGTCATAGTGCCAGAGTGTTGATCTCATCTGACCGTTGGGAAATAATGTAGTTGAACTTCGAACCTGAGCAAAGTCTTCAAAGTCAAGACGTGTATAAAGGTTAGGGAACTGGTCATAGGCCCGGTGCGTGCTGCATGCTTTCCAGACAGCGTGATCAGTGAGGGAGACATGAACCTTATCGTTGACGTGCATGACAAGCCGCTTCAAACCATGCGCACCGTGTGTATATTATGTTGAATGTATTCAAGATTTATATACACTGACAAATGCTGACAATATGTATATAAATATTTGTGTGTTGTCATAGGTGTTCAATTGTGCCTTTTTTAAGCGTATGCTTTGGAGTAAAACACTCCGAACCTTGAACATTTGAGGAAGATGCCCTGGAGGGAAATCAACAGATTACTTTCCTCCAACGTTGTGTGGTAAGACGACGCCTGGCAAATGAGCAAGAAGCACTGGCACTGACAAGCAGAGCAGCCAGGATTCATTGAGAAGTTGGGAACGAACAAAAACTGGCGGTTTTCAGTGGTGGTGAAAAGAAGGAGCCACTCACGTGAGCTGAGGCATTGATCGCATCAAACCGCTCTGAGGGGCTCATGTCACTGTGTGCAGGTAGGATATGTAAAGGAACCTGATGGGTTCAGCTGGAGAGTTTGTGCAGCTACTGTAGACTCACTGGCACTTCGCAGCGGTCGTCTAGGTCGGCTGACGTGGCTGGAGCAGGTTTCCCAGGCCAGGAGAAGTGCACCACAAGAGGAACTAGAAGCAAGAAGCTACTAGTTGCAAGGACTCTACTAGTTACTACTAGTAGCATTCTTGCTACTAGTAACATGCATCAAATATCCAGCCAGTCTTTTTCGTTGAGTCATGCACTCCCAAGTCAAAACAGCTTTCGGGCAGATTTGCGAACAACGAGTCTGCGTACGCCTTCACAAAATATCACAAACGATTCTTGACGAGTTGGCCACCTGAGTTTTCTATGATATGCCGTGCTTGCAGATTGACTTCAATTTGATTCTGTTTGCCAGGTTCGGAAGTCTGCTTTGATCATGGGGGCGCATGGCGGCGCAATTGCAAACATCCTTTTTGCCCGTCCTGGCACAGGCACGAAGACAGACACTTGGGCCCTTTTCCAGATTCTCTTGATGCATCTGGTCGGTCATACTCTTCGGCATGGGATCATCGTTGTTTTCAATATAACTTATGCATTGTTTATGTGTCGTCTTCTACGTCGGCGTTTCCCTCGTTTGCATATTGGTTACTTTCTGATCTGATTGGAGTATTTGCAGGTGTTATTGAGATTGTTGGGAGCCCCAAAGCTGCGAAGATCATTGACGCCAAAGGAGACTGAATTCGTCTAGAATCTAGAACGAGTAATTACATAACGGGAACTCATTGCGAACGCATTGCAATGGCAATTGCGATGGTTTCAGAGTGCAATTTGCCATAATTTGCTTATTACAGTAGATGTCCTTAGTTGGTTGGCAAAGCGTTGCATTCCTTCCGATTTAAAGGCCAATAGTTACGTTTGTTTCCTGAGTGTTTGGATTTATCAATTATTGTATCTATTTATATATTTAGGTATGTTTTTGTTTTTGAATCTTGTCAAGATTTGACATCCCAGATTCGCACAATTGAGTGCTGATCAGCTTATGTATTTGTTTCTTTTTTGCGGGGGACGGGGGACACGGATGCAATGAGTGTTGTTTAATAGTGTTGTGTATTTTTGCCAAAGGTGTGAAAACTGTAACTGAGAACGGGGAACCCTTCGGTTTCATATTCTGCAAGTTCGGAAAGCTGCTTGCGGCCTTATCGCAGCCCAGGTTCGAAGTGCTACCAGAGGTTCTAACTACCACTGTAAGTGCTGGTTCAATGCATCCTAAATTCAGAGCAGGAAAGCTTAACTTAGAATATTTATTGAACATTTGAACTAATCTTGGATCCTAATTAATAGTGCGCAACTCCGCCCACAGTCTCGCACAGAGCCCAGAGCCCACAGTCTAGCAAGTGCGAGGTTTTGGAGCGTCTGGAGCGTCCAGAATCCAGAAGCTGGCTGCTCCAACGGCCAGTATGGCAGAACCATTGGCAAGTTTCGAGGGGCTTTGGCGCGCCAGAGCCCCGAGCCCACAGTCTGCGCAACCAGTATGGCAGAACCATTGGCAAGTTTCGAGGGGTTTGAGGGGTTTGAGGCGTTTGAAGGGCAGTTTCGGGCCACTAGAAAAAAAGGATTTGGCGCGCCAGAGCCCCGAGCCCACAGTCTGCGCCACTCCGCCCACAGTCTGGCACAGAGCCCAGAGCCCACAGTCTAGCAAGTGCGAAGTTTTGGCGCGTTTGCTTTCGGGCCCAGAAAAGCAAGGATTTGGAGAGCTCAGGTTCCACACCTTCGGTGGTCCCAGGCGCCGCCCCTGCCTTCGCCAAAGCAGGGGTCGGCGGATAAAAGGGCTTTCCCCCCTCTAACAATTGGAATGTCCTCTATAGTAAACTACCCACAAAACAAATCTGGGCTCCTGGGAGGATTCCTTTTGTAATTGATGGTAGTATTTATTTTCCTTTCTCATGTTCCTTGTAGTTAGATATTCTCAGCAACCCTTTCATACTACTAAGAAGAGGACAAAGAAGGTTCTCACTTTCTCTGCGGCTTTGAAGAACTAGAGAAACCTATACTTATCAATGCTCTCAGCAAGCCAGCCATTGGCTTAGAGGCTGCAGAATTGCAATCTTGTTTTATTCAGAAAAAAGCTTTGCACAACTGAGGGCCCTCAAAACAAGTTTAGTATTGCGGATCAGGGGCCTTCCCGGTCTACTACCTTGAACATTTGTTTAGAAGCAATCTTTACATAAAAGATGGGAAGCTGTCAGTTTTGAAGAAGAACTAGAGAAACCTATATCTACCAATGATTTCAGCAGGCCAGTCATGGACTTAATATTCGCAGGTCTCCAAAGGATTGGAAACCCGAATTATTTTTAGTTAATAAATTAGGATCACAAAAAATAGCAATAGAGGACCTTTAAAACAAACATGGTGTCCAAAATTGTTTTTGGAAAGTTACAGAGGACCCAACATCACTTAGAAGTATGAAGTAACCTTGTCCTGGGCACTTCTGCTAAATTCTTCAAGCCAAAGCACTGCGATGTCTGTGGGACGGGCTAGTCTCGGGACGGTTTTGCAAAGGTAACAACCACCGAATGTTGGGATCGCTTCGGAACGAGTTTTCAGCTGTCTTGCGTTTTGGCCAGTCATGTTTGCTGGAGTGGTTCTGTGGATGCACAAAAATATTGTTGTATATATATATATGTACGTAAATATACAGTATATTACGAAAGCCAGCCGATAGGCTAGGCTTGAGCTCTTAGAGCGAACGAAGTGAGTTAAGGGGGTGTGGGGGGGGAGGGCGCGAAAAGGCACCTTTTGAGAGGGTGAACCCGGAGCTTGGTGGGGGAGAGCGCTCCAAAGCGAGGGTCAGAAAAGCAGTGAAAATGGGGTCTGGTGATGCGAGTGATGCAATGGACGCGGAGTAGTGCATCATTAGCATCAGGGTCTGGAGGCAATTTTTCTAGTCCTGAGCAGGGCATAGGGACTGTGTAGTTCTGATCATACCAAGAAGGACCAAGTGAACGCTCTGGGGGAGAACGATGTGAGTATGTCCAGTTGGGCGAGGTAGAGGCTTGGGGATAAGAGCGCCGCAAGAGGAGAAGCAAGAAAGCTGCAAGCGTTCAACACTTCATGCTGTGCTCCGATCTTGATCTCAGTCGCAGTGGTACCAGCTCCACGAAACTACAAGCTTTCAACTATAGGTGCTCTGCGATTTTTCCCTCCCACCCCTGCTCTCTATAGGGCTTCGCGTTGATGCACGATACCCGAAACACATTTCAACACAACCACAAAACTCCTTTCGGGCATCCTTCTCCTGGTGTTCACTGACGTTTATTTTTGCACGGATTCTCAAATAGAACACCAGCAAGGGACGCTCCAGAAGGCGCCGCACCAAGCAAATCAAGAATGCTAAAAGCATTCAACACTTCATGCTGTGCTCCGATCTTCATCTACGTCGCAGTGATACCAGCACGAAAACTACAACCGTTCAAGAATGAGTGCTCTCCTCTTTTTTATTCTCCCAGCCCTACTCTTGCCCGAAACACATTTGAAAACAACCAAAAACCAGCTTTCGGGCATCCTTCTCCTGGTCTTCACTGACGTGTATTTTTACACGGATTCTCAAATAGACCACCAAACAGGGACGCTCCAGAGAGCACCACGCCAGGAAAATCGAGAAAACCTAAAACATTCAACACTTCATGCTGTGCTCCGATCTTGATCTACTCCACGTTGACACAAGCTCCACGAAAGCTACAAGCATTCAACAATAAGTGCTCTGCTATTCTTTCCTCCCAGTATACCATATTGGTCTCTTGCTGGCTTTCGTCCTCTCCTTGGTAGATGTATGTTATGTGGGTAGGTTAATCAGTTAATCCAATCAAAATTGGCAACAACTCAGGGCTGCCAATCACACCGCACCAGGTGTGGCAGGGGCAGGTGTGAAGTGGACAACGGTGGGCTCGCAGCATTTGCAACGGTGGACAACGGTGAATGCAACCACGTGAATCGCACTGTGTTTTCTGCGTGAAATATGGTGAAGGTAGAGGTTTCATGCGGGTTCGGTAGGGAGAGAGAGAGGAGGTGTCGCAAGAAAAGTGCAGAACAATTGAGGTTTCTGGAGGAGTGCACCAAGGGAAAAGTGGAGATGTGTCGAGGAAGGCGCAGAAAAGTCGTGTAAATATCGGTAAATGAATGACCGTCAGATGATTGCCGAAGTTTTCATTTTGCCAACTTCCGGGTGTGCTGGCATGAAGCAGCTGGTCGAGACGCTAGGGAAATTGGGTTCGAGCTCGCCGTAGCCAAATGGCTAACTCTTCGAGAGGGCGATGGAGAGAGGGAGAGAGAGAGAGAGAGAGATGATGACTAAAATGTGCATTCTGACTCCCTGCTGGAGGGCAAAGCTTCTGGATGCTTAGCCAAAAAATTCCGAGACTACACTATTACACTTCACCACCTCGCAAATCGCCAGACCGCACACCATATCACAAACCATCACAAACCACCACATCGCAAGTCACCACAGCAATTTCGAGTCACCAACCACCTCACACCAAGTCGTCACATAACTTCACATCAGGTCATAACACCGGCATGGAAGTTGTCGAAAAGGTGCTTGTAAGCACGAGAGACCTCAGTAGCATTGAGAATGGTGGTTGCAAAATTATGCGAACATAACTTCGGTGAAACTCAATGCTTGAACTTTTGAGTATGAAAACTTCTTGAAGCTCCTGGGATGGACTCTTTGCCAAAGTGTGGCCGATGGACTCTACGCAGTTTTGTTGGCCCTACTGGCTACAACCGGAGATGTTGTGATCGCTTCCGACTGTCAAAATGTTGTCGCCGGCTTTCGCCTTCTTGAACAAGTTCACTTTCGGTTGCTCAAGGCTGAGTGCTTGGACAATCGGGATTTGTGGGCTTTAATCTGCGCTCACGTTCGCAACCGATCCGGCCAAGTTGAAATGATCAAAGTTAAGGCCCACTGCAGTGTTGGTGAGTTACAACAGCCGGATCACTGGACTCGTGGAAACTCTGAGGCTGACAGGCTGGCAAAATGTTGCGCCAAAGAGTGTTGGGAATCTCGCCAGCTTGAGAGCGAGACGATGCCGTGTCAGCAGCTGTGGCCACTCATGTTCACATCATCTCGACTTTGCGCCGTCGATTTTCGACAGTATTGCCAAACGAAAGTCAGAATGCGTACGAAGAAAACGTAGTGTTTCCCCATTTTTCCAGAGCATACGCGTGCACCTGTGCCCCCCGAACCCGTTTGCGCGGGAAACAAAACGTTTGCACGTGTCAGTCTCAATCGGTAATTGTTGCAAAGCCCGAAAATCAATTTGTACAGGCCTGTTTGAACCAGACACTGACTCAACAGCATATTGAGGATATTAAGCATCATTACCCGATTTTCACTCTGGCTTTTGCCGCTGACCCTCGAAATCGGAAACTCCATGTTGACATCACCCCTGACAGGCTTGCCAAGTGTCAACGTCGTTTGACTGTGGGTTTAGCTCGAGACTTATTGATGTTTGTGACTCAGACAGAATGGCCAGAACCGGAAGGACCCCGCGTCCCATGGCCGTTGCTTTTCCTCGCTTTCTGTAGTCACTCTCCGACTGTACATACCCACTTCGCGCAGTGTAAGTCACTGCATGCTTCCGTATGCATGTTCAGATCTGCCCTAGGATGGATTTGGAAGTTGCAAGGCATTAACGTTCTCAGTGCTAAGCACATCTCTTCTTTGCAGGA